CGAACTAAAAATCCAAACTGAGAAGGGACAGAAAGGCAGACAAAGACTAGAAAAAGTCCAGAGAAGAAACAGGCTAAAACAGGCACAGCTTTGTTTGGCCATCACAGCCACTGTGCTTCTGAGCATGCCTGTTCCTGCTGTCATATCAGGAAGGAACTGATCCCACACCAGGGAATAAGGTCTTTGATGCCAGATGCTCTCTGCAGCACAATGTGAAGTACCCACTCTCAGTCTCAGAGGCAACAACTACAAAATTTTTATCTGTCAAAATTTCAGGAGTTCCAAAGACTCTAGTACCTTTTAGGGTATGATAGTTTTATTGGACAAAGAGGGAAGTGAAAGAAGGAGGAACCTAAGAGATAGGGGTGATGAGAAAGTCTAGGGTATAAGCTTTCACAACTAGCATGTGTTTTGCCCTCCTTTCTTGTCCCTCTGCTGCAAAACTGGCATGTCTCAAATGGAGGCTGCTCTGTCTGACTGAATCCCAGAGTGAAGACTACATGGAGCAAGGCTACAGCTAACTAATAATAGACATCTTATATGAGCATGTAGTCATTGAGACCTGGGGGTCTTTTGTTACTACAGCATAATCTATCCTATCCTGACTAATACACATATCTTGCTTTGTGATTGTGAGTTCTATAAAGACAGATCGTATTATGTCTTATATGACTTGTACCTCTAGCACGTAGCACAGTGCCAATTACATAATAAGCATTCAAGTAATAGTGAATGAATGAAACATTTCTGGATTTCATCTGTACAATCAGGGGGTTGGAGTAGGTATTCTATAAGTTACCTTCAAATTCTAGCATCCCATGATTTCTATAATTTCAGAAATAAAAGGTTCTGTGTTTTCTTCTTAAAACACCCACATGCCAAAGCCTTGTTCCAACCTGAACTTCCTTTCTCTTCTGATGAAAAGCTTTTGTACATGACTCTATATGCTTACAGCATTGCAACAACTGCTTAAGGTTTTAAAATTCTAGTGCAATCAGCCTGTACAGACAAGAAATTAAATACTGGGAATGCGTTATCTGTTTCTGAGTATTGTCCTGAGTGATGTATCCCATCCCCACCCACTACTGTTGCTGACTTGGGCAAGTATACCTGCTTTTCAAAGACCATCTGAAATTACCTCCAAGAAGGAACTGCTTTGAGAAGGAGGCTTATAATTAAAGAGTAATTGAAGTTTCCAGTGGTTTTATGTACAGATCTTATCTAATGCCTAAGTAGATGACTGCATGGCTTAAAAGTCACAATGGAACTAGATGCTTGTACAAGATGCTTGTCTCTGCTTAGCAGTCTTGATTTCCAGTACTATTTTCAGAGCACCTGCACAACACTGACCTCAACTTATCCCAGCAAAGTGACTGCAGAGAACCATGGAATGTTAGAGCTGAATTGAACCTCAGCTAGCTTCTCAACCAGACCATTGTTTCACAGAAAATTGAAATCAAAGGAGGTAAAGTGATTTGCCTAAGGCCACAGGTAGAAGACAGAATGATTAAGGGATGCAGGAAGTAAAGCTATGGTGACTTGGATGACGTTTTGGGTGTGGGGAGTTAGGGAGAGGAAGGGGTAGAGGACAATTCCCAGGTTCCTCAACTGGGAAAATGGCAGGATGATGGGGTCAAATGAAGACGAGCAGGTTTGGAAGAAATATGATGAGTTCAGCGTGGGTCATGTTGAATTTGAGGCGTCTATATGCCATCCAGATAGAGATATCAAGCAGATAATTAGATATTATAGCACTGAGGCTGAGGTAAAAGGACAAGGCTACAGAGATAAATTTAGGAGGCATCAGCCTATACAGTTGGTATTTTTCTCTGCTTTTTCCTTATTAAAAGAACACTGATTTTTTTTTTCCCCCAAAGTGCAATGTACCTGGTCAAAAACAGAAAACAAAAACATTGATTTCCCAGGCTCCTCTGCAGCTGGGTGATCATATTATTGTCCTTCTGGCCAATTAGATATAAGCAGAAGTCTATCTACTGGTGGGGCTTCCAGGAAAACTATTTTTTTTCTCCATACAAATGATCAAACAGCTGGCACCTCACTTTTGCCCTTGGCGCTTTCCTCTTTTTTCCTTCCAGAAGGGAAGCAACCATCTAATGAGCACGAATACAAAAGACGTACCATAGATGAGGGAGTGGAAATTTAGAAGGAGTCTGGTTCCTGATTCACCTACTTGAAAGAATGTGAAACTTGGTAGTCAACCTTGACTCCTCCCTCCAACTCAATTCCTTGTGCTCCGAGTCACTTGACTCTATCCTTAAATATCCTTCACCTTGCTTTCTTCTAATGACCGCTGCTAGCCCCCTACTTATGTCTCCATTGGCTCACTGAACTGCCTTCCTAACAGGTTTGTCTGCTTCCAGACTTAGCCCTCTAACCCATTCATTTAGCCCACTGTCAGTATCTGTCAAAAATGGAATACATTTGTGTTGATCCCTGTTTAAAATAATCCCACATTTCTTCATCGTCTATTAGATAAAATCAAAGATCCTTAGCCTTTTAGGGCTTTTATGATTTGGCTCCTGCTTTTCTTAATTAGGAGTCCCTGGGTGGTATAAATGGTTAAAGTGCCTGGCTGCTAACCAAAAGGCTGGAAGTTTCAATCCAGGCAGAGGTGCCTGGGAAGAAAGGCCTGACGGTCTACTTCCAAAAAATCTGCTTTTGAAAACCGTATGGAAAAAGCAGTCTCTGGAAATCCTATGGAGCACAGTTCTACTCTGACACACTTGGGGTCAGCATGAGTCTGAATCCCTTCACAGCAACTTAGATTTTTGTTTGTTTGCACCTTCCTTCCTCCCTCCCTCCCTTCCTTCCTCCCCTCCTTCCCTCCCTCGCTCCTTCCTTCCTTCCTTGATGGAGACACTGATTGTGATGACACAGTATGAATTTATATATTTCAACCATTTTCTGAACAGGGACCATGTCCCAAGCATTGTGCCAGGAACTTTACATTTATTTAATCTTCACAATGTCCGCTCATATATTTGGTATAATATTCTCAGTTTATGGATGAGTCAACCGATTCTCAGAGAGGTTAACTCAGTTGCCCAAGAACACAGCTGGTTAAAGTGGAGAAGGCCGGTTTGCGGGATGTCAAAATTTTTTCCACCAAGGCAGTGTCTTGACTTGAAAGAATGTATCCCCACTGTGGCGTCCCCCATCATTCCCCTTTTAGCCTAAATGTGCAGCCCTGTTAAAGAACCACTGGCAAAACCGATTTTGCCCATGGGCCAGAAGAATCCGTTCCCCACTGCGGGACGACGGAGGGGTTAAGGAGACTTGGGTTCTCCACGGCAGTCTCAGCCAGGGAGGAGGGAATCGCTCAAAACCTGCGCTGTATCGAGGGGTGGTGGGCCTGAATCAGTCACCCAAGGTCCCTCTGGAACCTCGAGGTGGGGGTGGGAGTGGGAGTACAGGGCGGGAAACCTTTCCCCCTCGCTCCAGCCCTCCTGGCCGGCGCCACAGCGTGGCAGAGTGGAATCGGGGCTCCAAGGCCACCCCGTCTCGGGCTGGGAGCTAGAAGGCCAGGGGGAGGGTCTCTGGTGAGTCCCCCAAGGCCTGAGCCAGACCTGGCGTCCACACCTCGCCACTTACTAACTCCGACTGGACGCTAGTCCGTGCGCTCCAGCGGCGCTGCTGGTTCCGCGGCAAAAGAACTCGTGCGCGCCGCTGCCGCCAAGCGGGGCCCAGACCAAGAGCAGTCCGCGACCGGGACCCCTCGAGGAGTGCAGCCTTCTGCGCCCCGAGAGCCGCGGGCTTGAGGGAAGCGCCCCCAGAAAGCCGCTGTCTGTGCAGGGTGGGTCTCCCAGATTGTAACCGGAGGAGAAGGGGTCGGGCCCACGAGGGACACCTCCAGCTGGTACCTCTGCCCCTCGCACCCAGACCCAGAGCCCAGGCTCGGACGTTCCAACGGCTGCCCCGCGGGCAACCCGACCAGAGTCCTGGTCTGTGCCAGCGGCAGCCTCGCGCCCCAGACTCTCCACCAGCCCAGGAGCGGGTCCCGCACACTGCTCGGCCCTCCCGGGTATCGGGGACCCCCACTCCCCGCAGGCCGATGCACCCCTGGGCAGACCCTGGCCAACCCCTTCCGCCCCGGTGGCCTCTCCCCAGGTTACGACCCCCTGCCCCCCCCGCGCGCCCGTCTTTGTTTCTCAGCTGGCTCTGGATGTGATGTAACCGGGCCAGGCTCGCGCGCCGCGTTCCCTCTGCCCAGACTGAGTCCTTCCTCCTCCCGCGCTTGGCTCCGCGCAGAGCCCGCTCTGGCCGCGCCCGCTCCGCTGCCTGGGACCGACGGGCACTGCTGGGAACGACACGCGCCCACGTCCCGTCTTCTGGATGCAGAGACCGTGGGGAGAGCCAGGCTTTCCCCCCCAGAGACAAGGGAGCGAGCCGAGGGGCAGCTGCTGTGCGGGTTTCTAAAGGAACTCAAACGGGGTTCCGTCCCTGCGCCCGGGAAACGGCAGAAAACCTCAGGTACCTCGGTGACCCCAGTCGGTGAATGTTTATATGAGAGAGACAGAGGTTGCAATAATGAGAGAGTGAAAGTGGGGAGAGAGATTGAGAGAAAGACACAGAGAGAGACAAAAAACCAAGACTGACAGGGAGAAAGCGAGTTGGCTGGTGGAAACTTGACTTGGGGTTTTTTTTGTTGTTTTGTTTTGTTTCTGGTTTTTAACCCACTGTGGTTTCTCCTCTGACAGAAGAGAGGAACGCTGCTCTTCGACCAGCAAGCAGCCCCCAACCTGCATGGAGTGAAAGATGCGGCCCGATGACATTAACCCGAGGACTGGGCTGGTGGTGGCCCTGGTCAGTGTCTTCCTGGTCTTTGGCTTCATGTTCACCGTCTCTGGGATGAAAGGGGAGACTCTGGGCAACATCCCCCTCCTGGCCATCGGGCCAGCCATCTGCCTACCGGGCATCGCAGCCATTGCCCTGGCCAGGAAAACCGAGGGGTGTACCAAGTGGCCCGAGAATGAGCTGCTCTGGGTCCGCAAACTGCCCTGCTTCCGGAAACCCAAGGACAAGGAGGTGGTGGAACTGCTGAGGACCCCTTCGGAACTGGAGTCAGGCAAGGGGAGCTCAGATGAGCTGGCTAAAAAGGCGGGCCTCAGGGGGAAGCCTCCCCCACAGGGGCAGGACGAGGTGGCGACCGCCAGCTCCATCACGACCCCCACACCCACGGGGGAAGGAAAATGCCAGAGCCTAGTCCAGAGCGCGCATCAGGAGACATCCAGATACCTGGACGGCTACTGTCCTTCTGCCAGTTCCCTCGCCTGCAGTGCCTTGGACGCCAAGTGCTCAGCCTGGGACAGGTCCGACCGCCCTGAGCCCGAGGACAGCATCTTCTTTGTGCCCCAGGACAGTATCATCGTTTGCTCCTACAAGCAGAACAGCCCCTATGACAGATACTGTTGTTACATCAATCAGAGCCAAGGCAGGTGGGACCATGAGACTATAGTCTAAGCTTTGCATACAAGGGTGGCTGTATTGGTAGAAACCTGACTACACTCAACTCCTAACGGAAGGAAACTGCCCTGCTCCAACAGCCTTCACATTATTAGAAACTGACCTGGTATGTGATGGGTGGGCAAACCCCCAGTGCCTGAAAGTCATCTAAACAGGCATGTTGGGGACATATTTTACGGAAGCGTGAGAAGGCCAGGGACACTGGAACAGGCAGTGGGTAGGAAAGGGAGTAGGAGTTCCAATATCTTTTTAACAATTTAAACAATGTTGAATGTTTTGTAAAATAACCCAAGAAGTGTTATCCAGCACCTGCTGAAAGCAAGATAAATGTAGAGTGAACTGCAGATACCAGCTATCAAACCATGCAGAAGCTAGCCACAGGGGTGCTGAGCTACTTTATGTCTAAAGAAATGAAACGAAAAAAAAAATCTGATGTTCTATTATATGAAATGATGTTTGCCTGGTGAGAAGCTTTTCACACTTGATATTTGCTGAAAGAAAAAATCAGGGGAGAGTTACATCTCTTCTGAGGTGGGATGATTTTTGGAGAGAGGGCGAGATAAGACAATTGAATGATGTAATTGAGTTTATGGCATTATTCTCTGTCAGGACTGGGGATCTCAGATTAAGTAAAGTGTGACCAGCTATGTGAAAAAGTAACCATTTTTAGATGGCTATATTACTTCTTAAACTCTTATTTTAAATTGATTTATTGAGTTTTTATTGGAAGTGTTTTTTTGACATTTACTATCATTCTTGTATAATTTCCTCATCAGGTGCAAAATGACTCAATGAAATATTTTCATAGATTAGAACTTGGTTTTATCAAGTCAAAATGATGACTATATATATGCAAGTGTCTTTAACATTTCTGGGAGACATGTATTGGTAATTACTATTCCTATATGCCATTTAAGGAGCCCTGGCAGCACAGTGGTTAAAGTGCTTGGCTGCTAATTGAAAGGTCAGTGGTTCAAACCCACCAGCCACTCTGTAGGAGAAAGATGTGGCAGTCTGCCTCTCTAAGATTTACAGCCTTTGAAATCCTATGGGGCAGTTCTACTCTGTCCTATAGGGTCACTGTGAGTAGGAATCGACTCGACAGCAATGGGTTTGGGTTTTTGTTTTGTTTTGTCTTTGTTTTTGGTTATATGCCATTTAAAATCTGAAGACTATAAAAGCAATACAGTGGTCCTGGTCTTTATGCAGAATTTGCATGAAATGCAATGGTTAAACCTTTAGAAGTGTTATTATTTGTACATTTATTCAACACCCTCACAGATGGTAAATGCCAATGAAACAAGAGTTAATCTTACTAGGTTCAACTAAAGCCCAGATTTTATTAAGTACATCTGATCAGTGAATATTACAAGATAATGGTCTGTTTTGTTTCATTCTTACTTTTTTGGCTAGTAAGGAAAAAAGAGCACAAGGGGATCCTAAAAAGTATTTCCTGTTTCACATGCATGACTGTACTAGACAAGAAGGGCAATCAGCCAGAACACCATTTGGTCTCTGTTGAAGAGAAATACTGAATGATATATAGAAATGATGGCAGATTTCATCTTGAAGATAAGGATAATTTTGCATTTTAAAAAATGATTGTTGTAAATTAAAAGATAGTTTCAACTACATCCTCCGAATAGGGGAATTAAGGACAAAAATTTGGGGCATACCTCTTTTGCGTGTTTCAGGTCCAACTCTACAATCCTTTCTTAAGGAATGCAAGTGTAGAAAATTGTTCTGTCTTTAAAATCATGCCCTTAAAAGATCAACATTTAAAATCAATTTCAAAAATGTGTAATTTTTTAGTAGGACTTACATATCAGAAAATGAGATGTGTGACCATGGCGAATTTCATTGTCTCACACCTCAGTTTTCTACTCTATGAAATGGGAGAAGGATGACTGATTTATACTAGATTATTTCTATAGTTCATTCCAGTTTGAATATTCTCTGATAGAAAGTCAAAGGCACTTTATATATTGCCAGGAAATGAATTATCAAAAAATGCATGCCAAAGTTATGCAATTCGTGATAACAATTAAACGACATGGATTGAATTCTTGCTACTATTCAAAAGAATTGTGTAGATGTAT